AGCAGTAGCAGTAGCAGTAGTAGTAGTAGTAGGTGTAGTAGTAGTAGTAGTAGGAGGAGGAAGAGGAGGAGGAGGAGTAGGAGTAGTAGGAAGTTCGGCCCGCCAGAACTCGCAGCCAGAAAAGCATTCCCAGTGAGAGACCTGAGGGGTTGCGTCATTTTGCGTCATTTTGCTGCAATACTTATGATTGACAAGATGCAACCACCTGGCCGCATGAATTTGTCTCAAGCTGTTTCTGATGCTGAGGTGAGAACCAATTCTATAAACCTGCATACACAGCAAGAAACCATCCACCTCGATCAGATTCTTGATCCAATCATCTCCGGCCTAGAATGGACATGTCCTCGCCAAGTGTCCGGAGACCTTCATGGTTGCCTTTTCTTCACAGGATGCGTGGGCTCTACATCGGGCAAGCCGGGGGCGGAAGTTTCAAAATTACTTACAGCCTATAGCGCGGAACAAAAACTGTGCCTATAGGTTGCTGCCAGGCCTTCTGCATATCGCAACAACAAGATCTTGACTTGTCAATCTGATACCATGTCCTTTGGATGTTGGATCTTGTCTCATTTCATCTGATCTCATCGCATCGCAGCTTCTCTTTGAAATTGCTCATTGCATCCCAGTCTGTATCATCCCATCCCATCTCAACTCATATCATCTCATGCCTTCTCTGCTTTTTTCACCCCATCTCATCTCATCCCATCTAATGTCTTCTCTCCCTTTATCATCTTTACCCAGCTGATCACAACTGTTCTCTTCTCTTCTCGTGTCACCTGAGCTTTTCTCATCTCATCTCAGCGTATCTCAGATTTTCACAGCTCCTTAACTCTTCTCAGCTCTCCGCAGCTCATGTCAGCTCATCTTGTGTCTTCTCATCTCTTCTCTAAATCTTGTCTTCTCCATCTTCTAAGCTCTTCTCACACAGCTCTTGTCAGCTCGTCTCACCTCATCTCAGCTCTTCTCAGCGCACTCTCAAATCATCTCAGCTCTTCTCTGGACCAAAACCTGCTCCAAAAACAGATCCCGGCGCCAAAGCAAGCGACCCCTGCGCTTTCCACAGAGAAGATTTTACACAGAGAAGCCTTTACACCGCTTTTACACGCTCACACAGAGAAGCCCCTACACAGAAACGCTTTTACGCAGAGAAGCTTTTGCACACAGCACTTTTGCAAAGAGAATATTTCACACACAGCAAGCTTTTGCAGAGAGCAGATTTTATACACAGAAGCTTTTACAGAGAAGCTTTTACACACAGAAGCTTTTACACACAGAAGCTTTTACCCAAGGAAGCTTTTACACATGGAAGCTTTTACACACACAAGCTTTTACACACACAAGCCTTTTCGCACAATGGTGCCAGAAATTGCCGGATCTCGGCGCCACAGCCCAAAAAAAGAATGCTTTTGAATCACTTTTTAGAAGGAATGTTAAAGCGAACATCACCAGCGCCAAAACGGTGCCAAATCTGAAAGTTGAAGGTGTGAAAACGAAGCTTTCGTGCGAGGCTTCCCTCAGTGAAAGTGGAAGATGTGAAAACGAAGCTTTGGTGCGAGACTTTCCCTCCAAAACCGAAAGTTAAAGATGTGAAAACGAAGCTTTGGTGCAAAACTTTCCGTCCAAATCTTAAAGTTCAAGATGTCAAAGCGGAGCCTTGGCGGGAGACTTTCCCCCAAAATCTGACAGTTGAAGATGTGAAAACGAAGCTTTAGTGCGAGATGCCCCTCCAAAACTGAAAGTTGCAGATGTGAAAACGAACCTCTCGTGAAAGACGTCCCTCCAAATCTGAAAGTTGAAGGTGTGAAACCGAAGCGTTCGTGCGAGACGTTCCCTCAAAAACTGAGAGTGGAAGATGTGAAAAGGAAGCTTTCCTTCGAGACTTTCCCGCAAAAAATGAGAGTGGAAGATTTAAAAACGAAGCTTTCCTGCGAGACGTCCTTCAAATATTGAAGCTCAAGTCGCGCAAAACGACACCTGAAGCAGTAGCTACACTGCGGTTTTGATCCGACCATGATCCCGGTACAGCCGGGACCGTCTTGCAACCGTCCCGCGGCAGAGCTTCCCCATCCATCTTCCAAGGCACGTTTGGTCCCGCAAAACACATACATTATTTCGTGCATCCCACTAACTCTCAAAACCACATTTCGGCAAGGCTTCCCCGAAAAAGTGAAAGTTGAAGATGCGAAAACGAAGCTTTGGTGCGAGGCTTTCCCTCCAAAACTGAAAGTTGAAGATGTGAAAACGAAGCCTTGGTGTGAGACCTGCCCGCAAAATCTGAAAGTTGAAGATGCGAAAAGGAAGCTTTCGTGGGAGACTTTCCGAAACTTTCCCTCCAAATCTGAAAGTGGAAGATGTGAAAACGAAGATTCGTGCGAGATGCCCTTCAAAAACGGAGCACTCAAGTTGGGAAAACGACGCCTGAAGCGACAGCTACACCGCGGGCCAACCGAACCTGTTTCCGAAACCCTCGCGCGGTCTTCCGAGGCACCTTTGGTCCTGCAAAACACAGCATTTCGTGCATCCGCTAACCTTGCAAAACGCATTTCGTGCGAGACATCCTTCCGAAAGTGAAAGGTGGAACGAAGTGAAAGTTGAAGATGTGAAAACGAAGCTTTGGTGCGAGACTTGCCTCAAAAACCTGAAAGTTGAAGATGTGAAAGCGAAGCTTTGGTGCAAATCTCCCCTCCAAAACTGAAAGTTGAAGATGTGGAAACGAAGCTTTGGTGCGAGACCAGACTTTCCTCAAAAACTGAAAGTTGAAGATGTGACAACGAAGCTTTGGCGCGAGAGGTCCTTCAAATTTCGAAGCTCAAATTGTGCAAAGCAACGCCTGAAGCAGTAGTTACACAGCATTCTTGATCCGACCATGGCCCCGGTACAGCCGGGGCCGTCCCGCAACCGTCCCGCGACAGACTTTCCCCATCCATCTTCCGAGGCACGTTTGGCCCTGGAAAGCATAGCATTTCGTGCATCCGCTAACTCTCAAAAACAAACCTCGCGCGAGACCTTCCTCAAAAAGTGAAGGTGGAAGATGGGAAAACGAAGCTGTCATGCGAGACTTTCCCTCAAAAAGTGAAAGTGGAAGACGTGAAAACGAAGCTTTGGTGGTTCCCTCAAAAAGATGGGAAAACGAAGCTTTGGTGCGAGACCTTCCCTCAAAAAGTGAAAGTGGAAGATGTGAAAACGAAACTTTGGTGCGAGACGTTCCCTCAAAAATTGAAAGTGCAAGATGTGAAAACGAAGCTGTCCTTCGAGACTTTCCCGCAAAAACTGAAAGTGGAAGATGTGAAAGCGAAGCTTTCGTCCGAGAGGTCCGTCAAATTTTGAAGCACAAGTTGTGCAAAATGACGCCTGAAGCAGTAGCTACACTTATGAGTTGTTGTTAGGCACAAGGGGTACCCCAGCAATATATTCAAAAATGCATAACATTTGCAAATTGGGAATGCATATAGTTTTGGGGCCCCAAAGCAGACAAGGAAATTTTGCATAGGGCCATGCATATGATTCAAGCCAACCAAAAGAACATGCACAGGGTCATGCACATGCGCTTTGGGCCCCAGGAAAAATGCAGGCAGACTTCTCTGATTTTTTGCAAGTTTCCTTCACCAACATTCTAAAAAATGTGGCAAGAGGAGCTCTGATCAGGGGCATTTATGTTGATGCATGTTGTGAAGGTACCCTCCACTGAATGCATGTTACTCTAAATGCTTGAGGAAAAATGATAGCCTTTCAAGAGTCAAGAATGTCTGTATACCATTTAGGATTGTTCAGTTGTGCTACTCGTTAGTTGCGCGTCAGCACCAGGTCAAAAAATGGAAATCGTGTTTCAATCACATTATTTCAATCCAGACTTTGTGATGTTTGTGTGATGTTCCCTGGCAGTTTTTGGACTCAGAAAGTCTTTGCATCATGGTGCGCATGCTGAAAATTAAGAATACATAGGTCAAAAGATCACCCCCGGACGGCTTTTGGGGAGACCGTGCAGATCAGGAAAGTTGGCCTGCCAGATCCATTATGCATTTTTGAACGGCCGTAAAAATAGCACGCAAAAAATATGCATTTTCAATATGCGTTTTTCCCGAGAGCGTCTGAGCGCAGGGTTCTTCCAATAGTGGGGGTCTGTAAAACATCTTCTCATCTTCACATCTCATCTTCACATCCTCTCATCTTCACATCTGCTCATCTTCACATCCTCTCATCTTCACATCCTCTCATCTTCACATCTGCTCATCTTCACACCTTCCCATCTTCACATCTGTTCATCTTCACACCTTCCCATCACATCTGCTCATCTTCACATCTGCTCATCTTCACATCTGCTCATCTTCACATCTTCTTATCTTCACATCTTCTCATCTTCACATCTGCTCATCTTCACATCTGCTCATCTTCACATCTGCTCATCTTCACATGTTCTCATCTTCACATCTGTTCATCTTCACATCTGCTCATCTTCACGTCTGCTCATCTTCACATCTTCTTATCTTCACACCTGCTCATCTTCACATCTGCTCATCTTCACATCTGCTCATCTTCACACCTTCCCATCTTCTCAT